CAAACCCGCTGCGTCCCCCCCAAGAGCCAGCCGCATCTGTGGCGGGTGAAGGATCGACATGTGACTAGAGCTAGTAGAACTGCACAATCCCTCAGGCCTTGTCAAAGGTGCTGGGGCCGGGGGGGCAGTGCCCAGTCCAGCTGGGCCAGCTCATCCCCAGATGGGTAGAACCGCTCGTGCATTAGGGCTTCAGCCAGTCTCTAGCCCGGGGGCTGGGAAAAGGGCTTCAGCTGGCTGGATCTGGCCCACCAAGTGGATTGATCTGGCCCACAGAGGCCCTGCTGCTCCCCTGCCCCCAGGCCCTGATTGGCTTGGAAATGGGGTAGCATGGGAAGTCCCTTCCTGCCCTGCCAGGTGTATGGGAGCCTAGTGGGAAGGCTGGGCAAAGGGGCTTTCCCACCCCCAGACTAATCATGGTCTGAGAGTGAGGTCGCCCAGAGGTATCCTGGCCCTTCCCCTTCTGGCTTAGACCCCGCCTCTTCCTGGCAGGCCAGGGACACTTCAAAAAGCCCCTGGTCCCAAATGATTGCCCACCCCTGCCCTAAAGCCATAGAGAGGTCCTCCTGGGAGGCTAGAGAGGCCCTGGAGTAACTGGCCAAACAGGAGCCGGGGAGGACCATAAAAGAAGCTGCAGGCTCAGCCGCAGCTCAGTTGCAGCCCAGTCCTGAAGGGAGACAGTTAAAAGGGCTGGTGCAACCAGGCACAGCTCAGAGTGGGGAGCTATGGGGACACCGTCTCCATGAGGAGTGTCATGTTAGTGGGTTTTATAACGAGTAGACAGATCACTGCTGCACCCACGGGGGGTATTAGGGCACAGGGAGAGCTGGGGTGTCTGAGGCTTCCTGCTGGCTGGCTGCCCCCCCTTTCTCTCCGCTGCTGCAGGCCAAGACCAAGGGGATCCAGAGCGGCGTGGACATCGGGGTGAAGTACTCGGAGAAGCAGGAGCGGAACTTCGACGATGTGAAAATGAAGGCCGGGCAGTGCGTCATTGGGCTCCAGGTGACCGGGGGCTGGGGGGTCTGTTAACCCTCTAGGCCCCGGATTCGGGCGCCTAGCCCCGTGGTGGCTACTGGGGGCTG